GAATGCAGGTCAACAAACGAGATGACATGGCCTTTCACCCGTCTTGAAAGGGTTAATGAGTAATGTGCTCAAGATTCTGAACATACACATTTACAAAAAAAAGAAATCAATGTTGAATTTGTATTAACTGATATTAAGTTCCCTCCTATATGTCAGGCTTTATGTACTGACAATACTTTGTTCAAATGCTAAGTGAACTGCATTCATGGAAATTACAGCACACACCAAGCCAAAGTACATAGAAGATAAAAGAAGAGGTAGAAGCATCTTCTGTTTGTTTTGTTTTGGACATTTTACATACAGCTACACAAAGGCTATCTATACTGGACATCCATAATTTTGAACTAAAAGACTATGTGAAATGCAGCATGTCAACAGCACCCACCATTAATTAGGCTACTCTAACTGAATAGTGGGATTTAACAATCACTCTTACAATGCACCAACAACCCCAAAATGTGTAGCACAACATTTTTTTTTTTGCAACAATGAGATTAAAACCATAGATCATCAGATTCAAAACTCTACATGTTGACCACAAGGCCACACCCAGCCTAAAAATATTAAGATATGTTTTATATCCTACATGATAGAAATATAACAAAAGACAAAAAAAAAAAAGTGTTAAGAAAACAGTGATGAAAAAACGCTAAAAAAGATGCTCCTTAAAAGCGTATTTAAAGGTTTTAATCAATCCTTGATTTAAAAAGATTATTATTTAAAAAGTGATTATTTCAAATTACTTTCTCGGCTAAAAGTTCAACTTTTACCTTTGAAGTTTAATAAATTTATCAGTACTGACCTGTAGATCAGAGAGCATTCTAAAAAGATTTTTTAGCAAGGTTCTGTCAACAGTTTCACCACATCTCTCCTCTCCAATTAGCACCAACAGGCCCTCCACAGTCCTTGACTGGACAAGCTGGTTACTGATGATGTGTATTCTAAATAGTTCTAAACCCAAGTCCCTGAAACAGTAAACACTAATATTTAGGACAATAACATAGCTTCAACACAGATTTTCTACCAATAGCCATCTGAAGTGTTTTTCTTTTAAAAAATCTATTCAGTGAATAATGTAATACATTTAGTAGAATGAGTACAAACAATAATTACACATGAATCTATTTCATGTATACTCAGGAAAATGTTCATTGCAACTCGTGAGACAAAAACGAGTAGGATAAATTAAAGTGTGCATTATATATTTATAACCAAATTAGAAAATGTGACATCACATAAAAATAATTTTTCCCGAGTCTAAAAAAATATTCCTTTTAAAATTTTAAATCACTGCTGTGCTACAAATACAAAGAGAACATGATTTCAAACTTGTTAGATACGTTTAGTCAACGTTTATTTATATCCAGTAAATTTAAAAAAAAATTTGTTAACCTGACAACAATTCTTAATATGATATTATCAAATGTTATTAAAATGTGAGAAAGATTTTCTTGTTTGAATCATTTTCAAGCTTTTGTACTGAAAAAGTTTAAGTTTTGGCTGGTAAAGTAGATGTGACAAACACTTTCTGATAAACAAGATTATATTAAAATCCTCAAAAAATAACAAAAAAACAGAAAACTGACTTACAATACAAGTTCATTATCAATGACCACCTTTTTGTCTAGCATGATTATGCCACAACTGTTACAAGTGTTTTTTTACTGATAATATGGATCACTCTTTGTGTGCCGAGTGCTGTGAAGCTTTGCGAGATTCTGGGTAGAGGAAACATTACATAGCCAACTAGCTATTCCACTGAACATCCACTTATAAATACAAATTTTGATTTTTTCTTTTTCCATCTTATTATGGAATATGCTCAATTCACCTGTCCAGAACATCTTTTAGATATTCTTTTCCATTAGATAAATAAACTGGAACAGGAATTTTGCAATTCCAACTTGATGGAGAATACATTAATCCTCTTTGTATTTATTTCGAAGATAAGTTTGAGGATTATGTTGAACAAAGTGATGATGTAACAGTCCAAGATATATTTCCAGGAGTAGCCCTTGTTTTGTAAATTACTACAAATATTATGATGGGATTAATGCTGTTCTAGTAAAACAAAGGAAAAAAGTGCTGTTTGCAAAATATATTATGTTACTTTAATTTATCCCATCACCAGAGACAAAGGTAATTCATGACTGGTCTTTATTTTGGTAATAAGTGTAGGTTTTCTCATTGTGTTTTGTTGAGTCATATACACACAACTGGTAATGCATGCTCTATGCTATTCAGCTCAAAATGTACTTTTGAGATTTACAGCTACCATTTTACATGATACAGCAAAAAAGTATTTTCTACTACAAGAGTATGCAGATTTTGAAAGCTAATTTAGAAAGTATAACTGATTTAATTAATGAAAGTTAAATTCTCTACCCAAAATAAATGTACTGGTAGTGGTGCAAGTGCACAGCCTAGAAAATACCTTATAACAAACAAGCACAATATTTTTAGCCTGCAGAAACAGATAAATGGATTTGTTTTCTTTCCAATATAATTATTATTCTTCAAACACACTCATATAAAGTTAATTACTTCCTGTAAAATTTTTAAAACAACTTTGTAGCCTAAACAACTGCATTGTGGCAAAGTGTATACTTTCTCTGCTACCTTAATAATGTCACTGTTCCCCTTACATCACCTCCTCATCAAGAAAGGTTAGAAGAAGTCTGAGACTCTGTTTAGAGTCAGTTTATTTCTGTGCAGAAAGTTCCACTTATTCATAATGATAAATTAAGCATTCTCCTGCTGATACTGCTCCTGTTCTCAAAACTACTGCATAGCTGAAGACAAAACTTTTCAGAATGAGACAGCTTCCATTTAACACCACATGCACATTAGGGTATCTACAGGCATGTGATATCTGCACTGGTCATTCTTTATGAGCCAAATGGATGTTTATGTGAAAGAAGATATATGAATATCAAAAGCTAAGCTCTTACATTCTATTTTTAACACAAAAAAAACAGATTTAACATACAACAACATACCTCTACATAGTAGCTAGAAAAAATATTGATGCTAAAGAGGAGGAAAAGTTCAAAATAAATGGGGAAGCAGCATCAATCTAAAGAACAGAAAAGTAAAACATGACTTATAGAGAGCACTGGATGAATTAACTTAGTTGAACAGAGGTTTGATACTGACAAGAGAAAGGTGCAACCTCTGAAGTGAAGTGTAAATCTCACAAGGGAAGCTAGCCTCAACTAAGGGGAACTTGAACAAAACATTCACCATAGTATGTTCTGTTCCAAGGTCAGATGACTTGAATACCTGACAGAAAACAGCACCCCTGAAGGATAAATAAAGGAATTGCAAAAATAAAAAAATGTAGAATTCAATAACTTTTCTATGATCATTTTAACCATCAAGAGACATATTTCACATGGCTTTAATAGGACTGAGTGACAAGGTGACTATTTTATGAATGTATGTCAATAAGTTTGGTATCAAACTGTAGATTATAATACAAATTTTAGTATGATGCATTACTTCATGTCTTAATTTAAAAGCAACTATTAAAAAATAAATCCTAAATATCGTTTTTTGTGTCATGTGGTAGGCTGAATGCAGCATTGGATCAAATTAGATGTTTGTGACATATAAATACAAATTAGTAACTCAAATTGACAATATTGACAAGCTAGAATCTAAAATACGAACCTCCTATCTTTTTCTATTTGCTGAGATACTGCTATGTTTACTGAATGAAACACAGTGGCCCCACCCACCTCTTTCCATTTTTGGAAACACTTGCTTACATACACCTACTTCTGTCTGTAATGTGTGAATAACTAATCAAAAGTCTTAGCAACCTATGACAAGCAGCAAACAAGTACAAAGTTCGTAACTAGAAGAGATAATTGTTTGCTATATTTCTTTATTTACTGTTTTATGTTTTAAGAAACATTTCTAAACAGTAATAATGTATATACATATATAATGTATTATAACTGAAATGTGACTGCATTTTACAAAATAATAGTCCACTAAAATACAGCCAAGACAGGTCACTTTGTAAGTGCGAGTTTTATATTCTTAGATATGATAACGTGAATGCATATGTGCTGCATCATCGCAAATTCTGTAACATTAGCCAGGCATGGCTGAAAGGTCAATATATTAAAAATAATAAATATATATACAGATATATAATGTTATGAGATTTAAGCTCTTAAGACTAAACATTTCTGTTTGAGTTATAATTGGAAGTTATTCTAGAATGAAAAAAGCATAATTTATATTTATTTCCTAATTTTTATGGTGGTTATGAGGTCAATCAAATTGACCCAACCCATACAGAGTTACAGTAGCGAAAACAACAGATAAAATATATATATAAGTTTTTTTAAAAAACGTTTGATATTTTTTGGAGGTTATAAAAATTTTGCATGTGAAATTCGAAAATGTTCTGATAAATAAAAGTATATTTAATCTTAAAATCAAAATTACTTGGAATGTTGGCTATTCAACATTTGAAAATAAAAAAGGCACAATAAAAAAACTTACTTAAGAAATCTTAAAACTTAAATTCTGATATCTTGCATACGAAAGCCTTGTAATGTTTACTAATAATCTGCAAAATGTTGTAAAGATATATGTACATTACCAAAAATCATAGTATAATTACTCTCATAGAACTGAAATTACTTCTTGGATGTCAGCAGAATTATGACAACAAACCAGAATCATAGAATTCTGGATCAATCTAAAATATTCACCATGTTTTCAAACACTGGTGGTTTATTTTTATTTTTTCTTCTGTACAGATGGTCCTACACAAAGCACACAATGTGGTCCTGTCATCTACTTAGTCCATTCATGACTTGTACATTTCAGAACTCAGCCAAAGTTCATTGAATCAAAATTTTCCAGACATAATTTATTATGTGCATTAATCCAATTAATTCATTCCATACTGGGTTGGCCATTTTGACCAACCTTGTAACGACCAGGTAACCATAAAAGTATCCATACTATAACTTTTAATGTGGTATGTGTCTGTTCATGAAATTTGGAAAGATTTAGCAAATATTACTTGTCTTTTTGACATAAAAAATCAGATTTTTACTTATTTGTCCATGAATATAATAAGTCAGAGTGCTAACTAGTCCAAGAGTAAAGTGATTTTCAGGTTAAGATTAAAATATTTTTATCCATCTGACAATGTTCAAACTTCATTTGCATAATCTCCAAAACCTCCTAAATGAATATCAAATGTTCAAATGGGATTTTTCAGTAAAACTTTATAATTTATCTAGTATATTTTCTTCCCTAACTCTATATAGTTTCGGTTGACCGACCTTGTACCAATTACCCAAAATATGAGTAATTTGCATTTAAGATTTTTTCATTCCAAAATGAGTGCATATTGTAACAAACAATTACACAATATTTACTTTTAGAGCCTAAGTTAATACCTTTTTTCCTTTATTTTTACTATTATTATTATTTACAGTTTAACTTTAACATCAAAACATAACCCTAATTTAACGTAACGATAATGTGGTCTCAGAAATTATTTTTTTAAATATTAATTTATTAAATTTAGAATATGAAATATTTTCATACATATATCACATCTTCATAAAGCAAAAAGCTTTCACGCAACGAATTGAGCTTAGTACAAAAACGTGTATAGCATGGTTAGCGGAAAATGTCAAACTGGAAAGTTTGGACTGAAGAACTGTTATGCAATATATACACGTGTACACATAAATCGAAATTAAAACTTGTGTGATACTGAAATTTCATCTACAAATTTTGTTTTAGGGTAAAGTTTATTGAAATACATTGATAATAAAATAGTTTTATAAAATTGTGAATGTAAATATAAAAAGTTGTGACATGCTCACTTTGACCTACCCACAGCAAGACGGTTAATGTAAAAAATATCTGTGCTTCACTGAAGAAAACAAATGACAAATAAGACATACAGTCCTCTTTCTCACCTAGATATTAATTTGATAACCAATGGAAGACATTGTTTATAAGTGACCATAGCAGCATTACAGCAGAAAACCAGATATTTTGATTGCATTGTGAGAAACGTCACAACATGAACAACAAAGCAAAAAAAGCTACCTAGTCAAAGGTATCAGACACAGAAAGAATTGTAAGTTTGCTATAACTATATCATGCACAGTTTCTGTAATAAACAAGCCCCTATTCAATTTTCCCTGACATTTCATGACCACAATTAGAATTCATAAAAAGACATTTTATTTTATCCTGACTTTCCAGAAATTCCACGACCTGTATGAATCTTGTATGCAGGATTGGAGGTCCAGACCATAGATGAAGCATATGGAATCACATGCACACTGGAATATTTATTGGTAACGTAAACAACACTTAGCTGAGAGAAGATACAATAAGAAATATATTCATAAATCAAGGATCCTGAAATAGCCAACCACTAGGATCCCAGTAATAACAGAAGAAAAACTTTTTCTTCACAGAAATATTTAATCATAAAAACAGTGTCTGCCAGTATATAATAATAAACAAGGATTAATAAAAGTGGTTGAAATATATGTATGAAATCAAATAAAGTAAAAGTAATCAGGAGGATTCTGGCCTTATCACAAGACAGTAAAAAATGCAAGATGTAAAAATAAATTTTGCCTCAGTTCAGACACAAGACAAAGGCTGATTGCTTGAAGGGGGAGGGGCAGTTGACTATGAATGAATCCACAATGGGGCTACTAGATAGAAGAAAATAGAAAATAAAATTTCCAGAACAAGGAATGCTCACATTTTGCTTGGGATTCCATACATTTAAATAGATGGGAGAGAGAATGTGGAATAACATACATAACAAGTTTCCCTTGGTCAGAAATATAAACTTAGCATGGCATCAGTAATTCCTTTAAGTATGTTATAATACTTCAAGAGCATCTCAAAATCCAGAAATTATCTAGTAGATACAGAAAATAAATAACAAATGTAGTAGTCCAGAGTAGATTACTGATTTGACAGGAAGAGATACAGTGTGCACTTCTTGTAAGTACAAAAAAAAGCCATTCCAATCCTTAAGCCCAATATGTGAATAAAGAACATGTTATTACCCCTGAAGATATTCTAAGAATTGAATAACTAATACTGCTTCTCCTCACCTCAAAAATAAACTATTCTACCAAATAATATTAAACAGTCCAGATCTGTTTGGTTCTAAATGAACATTATCAGTTGACAATAAAAGAAAAAAATATAATAAACAATAATAATAATTTAAATATATAAAGTGCTTACACCTAAAGCAAAAAATATTGTATCAAAGAAAATTACAATAAAGTTTTGTTACAGAAACAGCACACAGAACTTCATGAGGAAGTAAATATAATATCAGCAGTGTCCTGACATCAAAAGCAAAAAAAGCACATAATAAAGACTAAGATGATAAAAAGAATTTAAGAGCTGAACCCATACTAATTTAGAGAACCAACAACAGAGTAGCTGATATAAAACAAGAAACAAAAAATCCAACTGAAAATCAGGGAATAGAGAGATCAATCTATGACAAAAATGCAATCAGAATATGAGCAGTGATCTGTTACTACAATCATGTCAAGCACAATAGTGTTAAAAACCTTCAAGCTCAAAAAAAGAAGAGAAATCCTTTAATAGAAAATAAAATCCTTGAATATTTCCTTAGCCATTGGCATACTGTAAAACTAATTTTCTTATAATTAAATGTAATATTATAAGAAACTGGTCTACTTAAAGAGAAATAATACAGAACAGATAAACAAGGTTTTAAAATGATTGTCAAAATTGAATTGAACTACATGTATGAACATAAAAAAGTGAACACAAACTGTTTAATCAGAAAATACACAAGCTTGTTTGACTGTTTTTGTGCAAAATTATACAATGATTATCTGCATATATTTGTCCATAGTTTTGAGCTTATAGACTAAAGGGACAATATCTAATCAACAGCACCCACCATCAACTCTTGGTCCAATATCTTCGCACCTAATAATGGGACTTGACCATCACTCTTACAGCAAGCACATATTGCCCCAAACTGCAAGCACATTTTTTGTAGTAGGAGGACATGAGCCACAAATCCTCAGATCCACACTCTGAGCATGCTAACCACTAAACCACACTTAGTCAAACACAATGATTTTGCACAGGTTGAATATGACAAGTTAAGGTTCTGATTAAGTAGGTTGGAAATATACATTGATGGCAACATTAACTTTCATTGACTGAAATAAAAATTATAATAAATGTTTCTGAAATTTAAAAGTCATATTTACAAATAATACTTACCATATAGATGCTACAGAAGCATTCTGTAAAACATAAGTTCGATCCAAGTATAAGAAAATGCTTCGAATCATTATCTAGAGATAAAAACAAAGAAATTTTAAAATTCAGAAATATTTATCTGTCAGTTTCATAACTACTGATTTAGTGTTCTACAAATCACCACCTGCATATAAAACATATTTCAATTAAAAGGTCTTCTTTTTGGACTAATAAAACAGTGAATTTACATTTTCAGCCATTGAAACAAAGCTTTCAAAGAACTTGCTTAAAATGCAGAAGATATATCTTAACAAAAGTTCAAGTCTTTCAAAATGTGGCATAGTTTCAATTTCTACTAATGTTGATTGAAGTAGGCTACGAATCTTTTGATGACTGTCATATCATTACTGAAATATTAAAAGTTTTGTTACTATACCATTATCAGTTTATTAGTCATTTCTTATGGCAAGTTATTTGGTTCAGTAAGTAGAATACACATACATGTAACTCCTGGAAAACTTGTGAAACATTTCTCAAGATTCATTTAAATGTTTTGACTTTTCATGTACACATAATATTCTGAAATACACAAATTAACTTTTTTGTTTGCAGAATTTCTCTTGCAATACCTTCTATAAAACACTCATTAAAGAATTATTGCATTCAGTACTGGATTATCTTCTAAAGAAGAATATATTTAGTTTCTACTATATCATTTTCAATTAAAGACCTGATTTTCAAGAAAGATGACTTAAGTACCATATGGAACTAAAAAGGGCAAATGCTTAGGTGTAAATAACGCAAAAGTTCATTATGTCTAATGTGTTAAATATGTTAACAACTCATATCATGAAGACTGGGTCTATAATATTAATTACTTTTTTCTAGTAGCCAATTGCTACTAGGTTGTAGGTTAATTGCTAACCTATTTAAATTTGCAAGTAATGTTAAGAAATGAACAAAAAACATAATTTACTACAACTGTTAAAACGGTGAATTAGAAAAACCTTTTTAAAACTACATTTAAAAAACTAGATTAAGACATTTTTTATTCTCATTTCAACTGGTATTCTTAAGAGTACAGAAATGCTCCAAGTTAATCTTTATAGCATTTTCACTCTCCTGTACCATCAATACAGTATACAGCATCTTGTATTTTCTTACATGAATGGTGAACACATGAGCACATATGAAAACACTTTAACAAATAAGAATGTATCATACATTAAGACCACCAGTTTCAAGGGTATAGAAATGATTTAAACTTTGCTGTAAGAAAAGTTAACTTTTTTTAAAAAAAGTTAACTGTTAATGTATAACCTTACATATATTCTCAGACCAAAACTTGTCACAGGATAAAGAACAAATGAAAAAGGAATCTTATAAAATGAAAGTGAATTTCTATAAGATAACCTTAAACTTCATGTATGGAAGAGCTGGTTGCCATTTGTATGTACAGATAAAGAAGTATATTACGTAATAGGTTAAAATGACTTATTAGGAAGGTCATACACAGTAAACTTGGTTAATAGTGAAAAAGAAATGTAACTCAATTTTACTCCTGTGATACACAAGGCTACTATATGTTTTCTATCCTACCTTCTCAATTACTAGACACAGTTTTCAAATTTCTTTATATACCTTTTTTTGGTTTTAATACAGAACATTTGTCAGACTGATTGAGTTCCCAGTAGGAAGATTTACTGTAGCAAGAAATATACTGATGTTAGCAACATTAAGATTTCTCATGGAAAACAAGGTGATTTACTAAATGCTTGAAACTCTTTCTTTGACTTGAGGTCCTCAATCACTTGTATATCACATGTGCCTAGAGTTGTTTTTCTCTCAGATCTTAGCTACATGCTAACATTTTCGTTATCTCAAAATGTATTTATGTTACTCACCCCTCACACATAACAGCTTGATCCCTTGCTCATCTGCCCAAAGGATTTGCATACCACTAGCCTTGAGCTAATTCGCACCAAAAAATTAATAATTCCATTTTTAGATGAGGCAAAAAGAAAGTTGCACCAGAAGTGTAGAGGATAGGGTGTGTGTGAAGAAGTATCTCTCAGAAATACATTTAAAGGTAAGAAAAATGTTAAGTTCCAAGATGATACCCCAAACCTTCACACAAAATAGTTAGAATCCCACAATGAAATGATGGAGAAGCCAGTGCAAACATTAAACCTAAATAAGCTTCCTTCAGAAATTACTCAAAGGGAAAGCCCATGAAGTGTGACACCTGATGGCAGGGAATCCATAATGGCACACCCATGAAGGACCGTATCTTGTCTCAAACTGGGTATACTCTTTGTGTTAAAGGAAACAAAGGAAAAGGCAAAAGAGCCCCAAGTGTCACAGGGAGGTGCAGAATTTTATCATGGCCAACCAAGCACCCATACGCAAGTGGTCAGCAAGCCAAGAAGTTTAGTGTGGTTAGGGTGTTATCAGAACATATGGTGTGTGTATCATCTCAACTCAACTGGACAGACAGACTGGGGTGACAAATGCTTCTAACTTCAGAAGATGGTAACACTAGCTGTTAGAAATGTGATCCACACTATACAAACAGTTCCACCACTGTATTGTGCTTTACACAAGTCGCGAGGGGTACCTCACGGCTTCCACCCCCTCCTCCCCAGTGCCAAGAGTCTCCCGTGCTCCACTTGAAGAGGGGTAGGATTCACATTGGGTAGTCCTAAAGAAATGTCTGCATCCCCACTGGATGCCTGCCAAAAAGATATTTTATGGGAGACAGTGCATGGGTGACCACAAAACCTTTTTTAAAAGCCAGCAAGTGTGAGCCAAAGAAGTGGGTAGTCACATCCCTGGTACCACCTTTCTCCATGATTCCATGGAATGGTACTGTCTGAATCAGACAACTGAGTAATCTTAATACCTTAGGGATACGTATACTGATCTTGTGGAACACCCCATTTCAACAGTGGGCAGTGTTAGAGCCAGGGCAGAAGAGTTGAGCACTTTCCATTACTCCTGGCCTGAAGCAGATTTTAGGAAATAAGCATACCCTGGAAGGCAACACCAGCCACCTGGTGGGGGTCCTATAAAAGGGAAAAGAGTGAAGAAAAGGAAAATGTATTAACCTGCATGCAATGGACTGGAAAAACCCTACATGTGAATATGAAGGGACAACATCCCTTGACGAAAGAGGCACGGTTAGAGCAAGAGAGACTGGAAATATATCATAAGAGGCATGGATGCCAACTGAAGAAGCAGAGGAAATCAGGATTGTGTCAGCCAAAGAGGTGCCACTAACACGACCTGACAAGGAGTGTTGCATATCAAAACAAAGACACAAGGGAGAAGAAAAATAGAAAGATAGGCATACAGAAAAAGATGAGACCAGTCCTGGCTAAGAGCATTGACTGCCAAGTCCAAAGGATGAGGAACTGAGGACCTAACGAGGGGAAGTTTGGAGTTGAGAATGGTGAAAGCATTGATGAGAAGTGTGACCAACTGAGAGCAAACCCAATGAAAAACCCATGGTTGGAAAGACCACTCTATGGTTAGAAACTTCTCCAGCTAAGAGAGGTGATCCACCAACAAGTGCTGAACCTCTGACACGTGACAAATCATGAAACAAACCCGATGGGAATAAGCCCTAAACAGCAGGTCCAATATGTGGAAACAAACAGACCTGGAATGGATACCCTCCTGATGGATGATATAGGAAATGACTTTGGAACTGTCAGAATGGATCATGACCAACCAATCCATTAGAAGAGGGAAGGAATGGAAAAATGCCTCACATACAGTGAGAAGTTCAAGATGTTGATGTGCAGTGAGCACTCTACTAGAGCCCAAATGCACAGTCATGTAGTCATTTGGAGATATCCCCCAGCCAAAAAGAGAAGCATCTGTGAAGAGATAGAGATCCATCCATGGGATGGCAAGGGAATGCTCACCATTATGTTGGTACAGCCAAACCACCAAGACAAGTCCTCAAAAAGAGGAGAAAGGAGGTACACAATTGAGACAACAGATCCTGTGAAAGGTTCCACTGGTCCCAATGGAATAGGTGTGTGTGTGTGTGTGTGTGTGTGTGTGTGTGTGTGTGTGTGTGTGTGTGTGTGTGTGT